CTCTGTTTCGGACTGCCTCTGATTCGGCTCTTCACTCGACTTGAACTACTGACTCCACTTGAACTACTGACTGACTGACGATATTCAGTCACCACCCCCTACCCACCAACGAGGGCGTCATGTGGCACAAGGCTGGTTTAACGTGGGATCTCCGAGCCCGTGGGCTCGGCCAAAAATATGCCCACTGAACCCGTATAAACGGGTTCAGGGTCGGTTTACCTCCCCGAAAGAGAAGAATCCGCCCCTCTGACTGACTGACTCCTTGCCTACTCCTGAGGCGCAGTATTTATTGAGTATGGAATAGTCCGTTATTATTATTATTATGGGTAAGATCCCATAACATTATTAATTAAACATTCTTCTTTATTGTTTCTCAATATGATTCATTTTAACTTTACGTTTGTCATTGCTTTTTCAATATCCTTTCCTATACATATTTGTCCAAATAATACTAAATAATAATGAGAAAAACTTCATGAATAATAAAGGTAATAATAACCACATTAAAACTAATATACATTTTTATTGAATTGGTTGGCATCATTAATGGCATGGATGTGTTTGATGATCAGTAGTAATGGCTTGGATGTGTTTCATGATCAATAGTAATGGAACTCATATTTGGTTTCGAAGCTATGGAGTTTTAGTCATAAGTTACCATGAATTATTGGTCCCCTTTTGACACTCAGACATTTATTGGCCTCCTGGATAGTCCCATTAACCCCCAGGTGTCAATATTGATCACTTTGGGGACTTCAGTCTTACAAATTACTAAATGCAATATTTACTTGATGATGGACCACAGAATGCATTGGCCGAAACTTTTACCAAAATGTTTTTTTAATAATATATATATATATATATATATATATATATATATATATATATATAATACTAACAAAAAACCCACTAGCCTTGAAATATTTATGGCCTTGTGTTGTACTAACTTGTCAGAAAAAAGATATTTTATGACATTTTTTGTTTTCAAGCAGGACTTTTTATTTCTGTAAAATATGTCATTTTCCCCCACGATGGATGATGTAAATGTTTCAACTATCATCCTCTACGTGAAATCTTTTGACTTTCATCAACCCCAAAAATGTAAAGTATGTTAAAATAATAGTTATTATCATTTACTTAGAAATTATTTCACTCTTCTCCTTCATTATTGTTTCTCGATATGATTCATTTTAACTTTACATTTTGTTATTGCTTTTTCAATTTTTATTTCTCTTCCTAGATTTAGATAGATCGAATAATAAAAATAATAAAAAAAAATTGTAGGAAACGTGCGCAAAAGAGGCCTCGGATCGCATGCGGACATGTTTGCCACCATCAGTTACATCCGGGTTTTTCCCGTTAGCAGCAGGACAATTTGGCATGTCTCGATACGGACCTCTCTGCAACTGGTCAAGATCCGGGACTTTGAAAGATGTCTCATGCCAAGAAAAGTAGTGGGAAAAGCAGCAGTCGGCAGTTGGCAAGACACGGTGTCTTGTGAAGTCGGTCCTCTGGGCATTTTTGTTACTCAAGTTGCTGTGGTTTTCGAGGCAGAGTTATTTTGTGTTACCTCCCGTCTCTTTTTCCTCTCTGCCTATTAACCCCGTAGTTCCTGGGAAATTTAGGTTTTTTCTCCTAACCTCAACACTCTTGTCGTACATTACTACAAAAGGCTAGGACAATATATTCATTGACATGTCTGTTCGAACTGTGGTACTGAAGTTCCAGATACACGTTATAAACATCACCCGAATGATGTCACAAATGGGGGAGAGAATTTTCCAATCTCACAACTAGGAAAACTGCTGCACATAGACATAGTCTGATGGGCTCTCCTTGTTAGTGTGGAGGCGCTTGCGTGGTGGAATAACTCCGAGAGCGATGCCATCTGGAATACTAAATTCCTGGTAGGGTCACTCTTGACAAGGGGGAAGACGAGGACCAAGGGCAACCCCAAAGAAAACAACGGTGAAATAAACGGATGATGATTACAATAAATCTTAAAGGGCCAACCAGCGGATGAAGAGGGCTACGCATGACGGACATGCTATAGAAGGCGCCATTAGAAATTATAATTGAGTCAATGGCAGTCCGTTGCAGTTTCATAACCGGATCATGCATGTTTCATTCCATATGTGCTGCAAAGAAAAGTCATGAAATCAAGTGAATGTGTCGGTACCTGGTAAGGTGTGGCCCACCTTAAGCAAATTCACGCCATCGTCATTTTCTTCTAATCTGATTTTTCCCTTCAGGCAATGATTGCAATTCCATACAAGAATTAGTCTGTTTACGCGATTACCCTAAAGGAAGCGATCAACAAAAAAAATTAAATTCGTGGATACGTGATAAAGCCGACGAAGACGAGTCATAAAATATTTCCAAAAAAAGCAACCTAGCAACTAATTGATTTGACTTGTCCACAGGATTCCAATGATTCTAAAAAAGAATTTTAAAAACTGTCAAATTATAAGGACCTGGAAATTGAAGTAACAAAAACGTGCAAACTTAAGACTACAATTATCCGTGTTGTGATAGGGGCATTGGATATGATAAAGAAGGGTAGCGAAAATCACGTGAGTACAATTCCCAAAGACAGCAGCATCTTCGAGCTACAAAAGATTACACTATGCAGAACCGCACATATCAACCGTAAAATCTCTCCATCTAAATGAATCGTCCCAAATGCGAATAGATATCTCTCCTAGGGTGCCTGCCTTTTTACTAATAGAACTCGGTGGAGACTTGATAATTAGGCTTCTAAAAATTACTCTCTGGAAAAATGATACTCACTCACAATAATATTACAAATAATATTGAGAACAAATTTATAAATAATATAGGTAATAATAAACACATTATATTTAATATATATATATGTGTGTGTGTGTTCATTGAATTTGCTGATACCATTAATAGGATGGACGTGTTTAAGGAGTAACACCAAAGGGCAATTATATTGAGTTGGTTGATTAGTGAGTTCTAGTCATAAATCTACACGATCTATCGATCTATTTTAGGCCTGCAGGCATTTCTCGACGGCTTTTTGAACCCTAGGCATTTATCGACCACTCCAGATTGACAACCTGGCAATTTGTATTGACTACTTTGCGACTCCTGATTTAGAACATTTCATTTAATCCTCACGTTGGTTCCACTCCAGTATTCATTTTTTCTTTTTTTTTTTTTTAGTAATAATCATCTGATATCTAGGGATTCTTTTTTCTCTTATTTTTGACTAGTTAAGATTTTCCATAGCAATAGTAGGCATGTAATTGGTCTGTAGTTTTTCACTTTCTTTTCTTTAGATGATTTTTTTTACTTCAGGAACTTTTCTTTTTAGCTAGTATTGCAGTTGCAGAGAACAACATTTAGGGAGCATGATTAAGCTCTTAAATCAAAACCTGTTAACACCATAAGATCCTAATTTTTTGTGTGTTCTGTCGGGCTCGTGGATTTATTTCAATGCATTTTATTTCCATTCCCCAAAGCTCTTACTTCACTTTCGTTAACTATTCAAGTGCTTCATTATATTTATTTTAGCATATCATATTCCGTTGCAGTAATTATTTGCTTCTGCAACAATTGATTTTCTTCTTTTATTTTCGAATATTCGCTTTTGGGTGTATTCGAATTCGTTTGTCTTATTTATTTAGCCAGTAAAATTTGTTAAATTTTCTCCCACAGCTACAGGTGACTCTACTGACTTACTTTGTACCCATCACATAGTTTTCTTTGGAATCCGTCGTATAAAAAATGAAATATTATATAAAGCGTTTTAACAGAGGACAGGAAATGCGACACCGAAATTCGAAGGCACATTTCTAAGCAGGAAGCCGCAGAAATGTTGTTCTACAGAAGGATGCTGATAATAACATGGACTGAACATGTGAGTAACGTGGAAGTTTTAGGGATAATGAGAAAAATACTTAGAATCAGAAAGAGAAAATGTATACTTAGAATCAGAAAGAGAAAACTGAAATTTCTAGGACACATAGGTCCTGTGAGTGTCAAATTCTTCAAGGCCTCTTTACTCTTTTGAGTAAAGAGGCGTTGAAGAATTTGACACTCTTTTGAGTAAAGAGGCCTTGAAGAATTTGACATTCACAGGACCTATTGAAAGCAAAAGAGACAGAGAAAAGCAGCGAAGAACCTAATTTATGGGCGTGTGTAGATGGTTAGCAGAATAGGGATTAAGAGACACAACAAAAAGATAAAACCTTAATAAGCGTGACAAAGGACAGGAAGTTGTGGATTCATACTTTTCCCAAGGGCATTTGCGCTTAAGTCAATATAACGATCCCAACCGGAAGTGGAATTGGGATCTCTGTTTAAAAATTCCGAGCCATTATCCATCCAAACTTACAGAAAGTGGTATTCCCAAACGGTCCTCCATCTAGGCACTGATCAAGCTCGACGTTGCTTAACATCGGTTTCCGTACGTTCACCGATGTTTCAACGTGATGTGGCTTTAAGCCGTGTTGTGGAACTGGTACACTTTGGATTCTTTAAAGATTAGGTTTATTGATATAATGGCTATGTCAAATAGACTAGGAGACAGCCTCCTCAAAAAAGATCTCTCTTTTGAAACTCCCCTGAAAAGACACGGCATGTAAAAAAGTGAATATTTATTACTTCCCAAACTGATTTGTTGCTCTTATTGAGTTTTCTTTATGTATTTACATCTTCATACCAGATTCCTCGTATTTGTCGCTGAGTGACTGAGTAACAGTGATTGTCCTGAAATTAGTATATCTTCCCTAAACGCTGGTTTTGTAGCTTTAGTTTCTAATATTACTGAAGAATGAAACCAACTATTAATAGTGACGATGATTGTGTTAGACCAGTAATTTATTATTAGCTTCGTTGTTCTATTTCTTGTGATTTGGCAGTAGATTTAATGTTGTCTGTAACGAAATGCAATGTAATCGGTAACAGCACGCCAGAGAATAAGGGTACAATGTTTGAATTAGAGATTTGAGAAAGACAAATTCGTTTGGCAGAAGTGTCCACCATAATCTCGGACGGATTAAGAACGAAGACTTCTTCCCTTCCTCGTCTTTTCTCTTTTTATTCATCTCTCTCTCTCTCCCTCTCTCTCTCTCCCCCTCTCTCTCTCTGTGTCTGTCTGCATCTATCTATCTATCTATCTATCTATCTATCTATCTGTGTGTGTGTGTGTGTGTGTGTGTGTGTCTCACTCACTGTTGCATCCGTTTTAGTTGATTCTAGAAGCCTTTTTGGTTACTTGCCTTCCTGTTGTTTAAATATTTTTCACTAGCAGCCATACCTAGCTGGTCGATCAGAAAAACCGTTCAATTAGAATGGAGCAAAAAAAGCATCATGTTTACATGTAACAGAGCCTTCTTCTTCAATTACTTTAAAGTACTTTCTTTAAAAAAAACATTATGAATTAATGCAGTTACTGATATAACAGAAGTAGTCTGTATTTATTCAATCGAAGTTAGACGAGGACATGAAGGAATAAAACAGACAACAGGAAGACACACTTCAGACCACAATTATTTTGGAGTTTTGAAATTCAATTTGTCAGTGTGCTACCAGGGATGTAAAAGAGGATACATTTATAAAGCAATTGTTAACTTTGATGAAAATTGGTTGAAAGATCAACGAAAAATAAGAAAGAAACCAGTAAAAATCAACATTTTTCCGCTATTTACGCGGGTTTTCACTATATAGGTGGACTCCATTATCAAGTTAAATGACTGGTAAAAGTCAACTTATCATTGGCTACAATTGAGTGAAGTTTGTATTAGACTACTTGAAAATTAAGGGAGTTCTTAGTTTAAAATTTGTGTTGAAATCGATATGTGTTGAAATCGATTTTTCGTTTTTCGCGGTTTTTCGCTGAGTACATTGGTGTTGAAATATAAATGAGCTCGTCATGATGTAAGTAACCTACATACTGAGTTTGAAGGAAATCCTAGGAAAAACGTTGAATTGATCAATTTTTGATCGGCTTTATAGATAATTGATTTTTTTTAAAATTATCGATTTTTTACGCTAAGAACCTATCTCTTACATTGTGCCAAGTTTGGTCAAAATCGGTTGAATGGATTTCGAGTGAAAGACATACACACACACAGACATCCCCTGTTTTATATATATAGATTCATTGAATATTTTTAATTCACTAAATATCTTTTATTCACATGCGTTCTTCATATATTCTTCTTTCTATACGTTCTTTATTATTTGAATTCTTTACTTTTTCCTTTCTTTTCTCAGCATAGATATTCTTGTCCTTGCCCTTCCTGAGAATTTCATGGAAGGAGCGAGTAAGCAACGAAAATGTCCGAAAGAATATGGAATCAAAATGGATACTTATACTGGGAATCAGAAATAGGTAACTGAAATGTTCTTGGATAATTAATGAGGAAGGTGGGCATGGAGAATTTGATACGCACAGGGCATATCAAGGGCCAGAGCAGCAGAAGAAAGCAGCAGACCATAAAACTGATGATCTGTGTGAATAAATGCGGGATAAAGAGGCGGGAGTTTAGTAAAGAGAGCTGCAAAGGATAGAAGGTTGTGGAGGGCTATAATCGTGCACCTCCTGAAGGGACACGGTAAACAGAAGACTATCTTTAAAACATAACCAATGGTTCTCCACATATATTTTTTCTGTTTCCTGTGAACTGCTTTCTTGGGAAATATATTCAAGTGATTTCCTATTGCTATCTATACGTTTCTGAATTTTTCACATATACTGGCTGGCACTTAAGATTGGTGAGATCAGTCTGATCTGGTATTTATCCTGTAGATGGAGACTTAAGAGATGGATTCATACCTTTCCCAGGATCATTAGTGCGAAAGAGAATGCAACAGACTAGACCGGAATTTGAACTCAATTCCCTGATTTCCCTTTGCGCGCTAATAACCGGTACGCTACCCGCACATGTAACCTGTAACATTGTAATTTTTTTTTTTTTTTTTTTTTTGCTTCAGGGCGTTCTTTTCGATTCCACACTTTTTTCCAACAAAACGTTTCGACCGACATATTGCAATTTTCTATATAAGCCACCTCGTACATTTCCGGGTTCTCTCTCCCCACCACCTCAGCTCACAAATAATGTCATCGAAATATTATATTTTATAGCCCCCCCCACCGAAAAAAATAATTAAATAAATAGAAAGAAACTGTATATTCGAATCAAGGACTTGGATTTGAGTTTAAAGTTCATTTTACTTTATGGTATATGAACTTCAATGGGTTATTTAATACCGACAAGATTTTTAAGATAGGTTCGTAGGAATAGAATAAGTATTCTTTGTAAGAAGTATTACTGGTTATTGTTTTTCTTTTTTTTTTTTTTCCAAAATGTATTGCTAGTAATATTTTTTTTCAAAATGTATTGCTTGTAATATTTTTTCCCAAAAAAATTTTTTTTTCAAAAGTTTATTGCAAGTAATATATTTTTTTCAAAATATGTATTGCTCGTATTTTTACGATAAAAATCTATTTTATACTTTCATAGTGTTATGACCCCAATTTAGGGGTTAATTATTTGCCGATAGCTGGGATCCTATCAGGTGCTGCCACCCCGGGTCAGGTTGGACCTGGAAACACCAGCAATTAAGAGTCCTTTCTGCCGGACATAGTTTATCGTTATACACAGGACGTCAAGAATTTCGATTTTATGAACCGAATGATTGATTTGTCAGGTAAATTCGTTTGTTTTTGCCATTTATCTAATTAGTAATCAACAATTTCAATGTCAAATGAAAGTAACGGACGACGATATTATGAAAGCAAACCATCCGCTGGGTCAATTCCCTAGTTTGATGGGGGGGGGGTTCCTCGTTGATGAGCTCATTCAATTTGTCCTCATTTAATTTTACCCAGGACGCTATTCAGGCTGGTAGATGAAAATAAATAAATAAATAAATACAGCATCAACTCAACTATCGGTATCCCTTAGAAATAATGTTTAAACAATAAATTACAATCTTTATTCTCTTTCATTCATTCTATATGCTTTTATCCTCACTGGGTGCCCCACACATTCGGCCTTGTGCCAGATCTAAGCCATGCTTGGAAATCATTTAGGTTACTTCAATGTGAATTCAGAGTTTTCCTTCTCCTAGACTAGTTGCCATCCAAGGTTATAGAACCCAGTCTGTCCTGCTATTTACCCATAGCTGGAGGGAGAAGAAGAGGATTCACACCTTTCCCAAGGGTATTAGCACGTAAGTGAAAGTAATGGATTCGACTGGAATTCGAACTCGGCTCTCCGATTCCTCAATCCAAGCCGCTATCCACTACTCCACCGTGCCTCCACCTGCTCTTAAAAAAATCCAAGGAGCGTCTGCATCGGCAACCGGCGGTTCTGGTCGTTCCTGTCTCTGCGTCTGTGGGAATCCCGCGGCAAGCAAGAACGTTATTCGAGTAGGACTGGGTACCCTACTTCTGTAATTTATCCCAAGAATCTTCTTCTCACATGACTACGAATGAGTCAACAGGAAGAAGCCGGCTCAATCCGGCCAGGGTGAATGCCGCATCAGTACAATACAATACAAATACTTCAATGTGGTGTAATCGTAATCGTTTTCTCGCTGGATCCATTACAACTGAGTAGCAAATTCGATACTTACTAGGTGCTCCATAGTATCGGCCTTGTGTCACATCTATGCTAAGCTTAGAAAATCATTCGGGCACTTCGACGTTGTGTAATCGTTAGCAAGCTTGTCTCTCTTGATCAATTACGACTGAATAGGGAGTTCGATCCTCACTGGGATGCCTTTTACTTTCGGCCTTGTGCCGCATCTGATCTACGCTAAGAAAAATTACCATTGTGAATGTTTTTACTTGTTTCTTGGTTTTTTCCTTTTCTATTTTATCTTCATTTATACCATTTTCTTTAGCCCTTCGGACATGCCAGAATTTTGGAAACCTCGAAGCAGACGGCTGGCCAAATCTTTCGCCTGCTGAACTCTGACCCCGACAGCGTTTGACCACGTGCCAGACAGATTATAACAGCACGACAAGGTAAATCCGGCCTCACGGCTAAATAAAATGTTCTTCTTGCAAATAGTGTTCCGCTTTCACACAGCCTCCCCACTCTTTCCATTTATTCCTTTTTCCCATCTCACACTTACTCTCTCTTTCTCTTTCACACATACACTCTCTCTCTCTCTCTCTCTCTCTCTCTCTCTCTCTCTCTCACTCACTCATCTGGTGATCTCTCTCTTTCTCTTTCACTCTATCTCACTCATATCTGTCTTTATCTCTCACTCTCTTTCACTCATCATTCTTTCTTTCTTTTTTCTCTCTCTCTCTCTTTCACTCATCTGTATTCTTTTTCTCTTTCTCTCTCTCTCTCTTTCTCTCTTTTTTACTCATCTCTTTCACTAATTTCTATTCATTTTCTTTTTCTCTTTCTTTTTATCTCTTTCTTTCACTCATCTCTCTCTCTCTTTTTCTCTTTCATTCATCTCTCTCTCTCTTTCCTTTCTCTCTTTCTCACGCAAAGATTATCTCTTTTATTTATTATCATGTCACGTAAACCATTGCAAGAGACTTTGAACCGCACTAGCAAGGCCTTCTACCCGACTGATTTTTCTATATGCCGCGTGTCTTAAGGACATACGAGATCATGGCTCTCCAAAACTTCCCATGTCATGTGGCACTTAGCAGTTTCTTCTCCCTTTGCTAAGGCTCCAACCCCACATCCCGCCTTCCATTCACACCCTCGTCAGGTCGCTCACTGCCTTCTCCTATCTCTCTAGCCCTCACTATGCCCAGTGAAGGTCACATTTTCTAAGCCCTCCTTCCTCATTATGCGCCGAAGGGATTTCAACAACCTATTTCTGATTCTGTGTATATATATATATATTTTTTTTTATGCTGTTTACTGGTTTTATTAAATAATAGCAGTAGAGCCTGGCGTTGCCCGGGAATGTAACAGTAAGAGATAGAACAAGTATCGACCATCATAAAGACTGAAAAATAAAATCGACAAAGATTATTGTTTAAGGTTGACGGACACACAATTAGTTTTTTGTTTTATGGGTTTTTTTTACGAATTGGTCAATCCCAAACTCAAACAAAAACATTGTTTTCAATCGTTATGAGTCTACCGATTGAATAGAATTTTATTATAAACAATTGTCTTGTAAATGGAATTTTAAAGCATTCTGAATGTAAAAAATAAAGAAAAAAGTGTGCAAGACAATAAGAAACACTACCTGCCAAAAAAAAAAGGAAGTTTTGTTGAAATCGGTTGAAAAAATAGGAAATCCGATCCCATATATAAACGAACACTGACACACAAACACGCAAACAACCTGAGTTTTATAAGTATAACTCGATATGAGCTGTCCCCCTTTCACTCTGGCGACAGCAATGCCTCTTAATCGTGTTTTCAAATTGATTTCGTGCAAAAACAATTGTGTTTTTCAATTTTGAGCGCTGTCAGAACCACTGCAAGGTAATTTTACGTAGTCCTGTGAAGTTTTGTTGAAATCGGTTGAAAAATGTAGGAAATCCGATCCAATATATAAACGTACAGACACACACACAATCTGCGTTTTATAATAAGTAAGATCGAGAACACAAATGATGTGAGTGATTGGTTTCTTATTACGTCTCTGTGTTAGAGAAAGTATCAAATTATTGCAGAACTACTTAAATTAACTGGTCCGCTCGTAATAAAATAGACTTTCTAAAACGATTTTAAAAATTTACATTCATTAGACAATCTATCAGAATCGAAAAATATTTAATTGTTATCATCTTAGCAGCTTTACTTTTCATAGTAAAAGTACAGTGTTAAATCTTCCCCTGACTTTTTAAAGTATTACCTGTTTTTATTTACAAATGTCAACCGTCCTGGGCGCGATGATAAACTCCATCCGCGTCCTGGGTAAGACGATAAACAACGTCCAAAAGCAAGGCCTCTGCTCAGGAGGTTTTGAGAAGCATGGAACCACCTTTTAATTGCTGGTGTTGCCAGGTCTACTCTAACCCGAGGTGGTAGCACTTGTCAGGGTCCCAGCTATGGGCAAATAGTTAACCCCAACCAAAACGGGCCAAAACACTATGAAAGTATAAAAATATGTTTTAATACCAGCAATACTTTTGGAAAAAAATTATTCCCAGCAGTACATTTTTGAAAAAGAAAAATATTACCAGCAATACATTTTTGGAAAAAAAAATATTACCAGCAACACACTTTAGAAAAAAAAATATTACCAGAAATGAAAATCGTGACGGCATTAAATAACACATTGAGGTTGATATGCTATAAAACAAAACAAACCAAACTAAACAAATTATAAAGTTTGAAACTGTGTTTATGTTATTGATAACACCTCGCTCACTTTCTGGTGCGACTGTTCGGTTCAACTCTCTTCCTACGGGCGGGAGGAACCCGAAGGAGGCTACGCCGAAGGGCGGAGGTAAAACCGGCCCTGAACCCGTTTATACGGGTTCAAATGGGCTATTTTTTGGCCGAGCCTAATGGCTCGGGAATGCCCACGTTAAAAAGGCCTTGTGCCACATGACACCCTCGTGGGGGGTGGGGACTAAATCTCGTCATTGATAACTGTGTAATATTGATGCTCTTTTTCAAAATTCTTAATAGTACGCGTTTACTGCGAGGACTTTTGTTATACTTCTTTTTAAGTGCCGTTTCCCTCTGGAAGTAGGCAATCATGGCTCTCCACAACTTCCTGTCCCTTGTAGCTCTTAATAAACTTTGTTTTTCTATTATTTCTCCCAAATCCTGTTCCGCTATACATTCACTCGAGCTCACCAAGTATGTTTTGCCTTGATTTTCTCTGTCCTTAACTTTTTTTTTTAATTTATCCGTGTAGCTTTTGGAATTTTTTGCAAAACAAGCACTCCAATATCTAATTATCTAATTATTTTATTTTCTATCTTTCATAAATTTTTTAATTTATTTTTTATTTAATATTTTATTTATATTCATTAATTATTTATTTATATTTAATAGTTATTTTTATTAATTTTAATTCATTTTTATTAATTTTAATTTTTTATTTATTTGTTAATTTATATTTTATATTTATTATTTTATATTTAATAATTTATTTGATATTTTATTTTATTCAATAGTTTTATTAAATAATTATTTTATTTAATATATTTTTAATTATATGTATTATCATTATTATTATTATTATTATTATTTGTATAATGCGTATTATGTGTATTCTATATATTGCTTTAATTTTTTTTTTAATTTTAGACGTTACATTTTACTTACTAATTTTTACACAAGTTTTTCTCTAATTTTCAAATATTTTAAAGTAATTTTATTATTTATATAAATTTTCTATTGATGATTTTTACTAGAATATTTTCTTTAATTTTGTGATTCTGTCCCAAACTAAGTTGAAGGTTTAATATTTTAAAATATAGGTCAAGGTTATTTTAACTCTCTAACTGAACCAGACACTCCCACATCTACTGCCATGAGATTGGGTTTATTTAAATTGATATCTGCCGTTTGCACTTTACTCTCCTGTGTCTCTCGTTTCGTTTTTTCCTTTTCTTTTTCCTTTTCTCTCTTCCTCTTCCTCTTCCTCTTCTTTTATTATTTTAATGTCTTGATTCTCACGATAATACTGGATGTTTACGTAATTTTTATGTCTAGACCTTCATCTGCTGCTCCCTCTTTATTCTTCTTTCTCTTTCTTTTTTTCTTTTTCTTTTTTCTTTTTCTATCTTCCTCCTCTTCTTTTATTCTTTAAATGTTTTAATTTTAAGCTCCTGTTTCATTTCCTCACGCCTAGTTGACAAGGCCTACAAGTAAAATCTTGTGGGTTTAAATAGTTATTCTGAATGAGGTTATTTTAGATTTAAATATATATATATATATATATATATATATATATATATATAGAGAGAGAGAGAGAGAGAGAGACTGTTTCATGCTAGACTCAATCACCAAGCCACCTTGGTAGGAAACTTAAAACCTTTCTTTCCGTGCTTCATTTCTGTCATATGGTTAATAATTGATATTTAATAAATGTTTATCTTACTGATTATATCGTTACCCTTTCGTTTGACCTTGTTTTATTAACTAACCTATCTATTTTACTTATTATAAGAAGCATATGTGGACCTCTATATATATATATATATATATATATATATATATATATATATATGTGTGTGTGTGTGTGTGTGTGTGTGTGTGTGTGTGTGTGTGTGTGTGTGTGTGTGTGTATATATATATATATATATATATAGTTTATGAAAACTGGGTAATCCGTATGGGTAGACCCAAGGAGAGAGCTCAATGTAAATCCAGAGCAATAATTTAATAAAACAGATTTTTAGGTTCCATGTAATAAGTTATTTACAAAGCCCTTTTAAAGGACTGCGAATCATCAGACTTTACTTCAACCTTTGGAAGTAAAGTTCGATGATCCGCAGTCCTTTAAAAGGGCTGTGGTGAAATAATTTATTACATGGAACCTTAAAGTGGTCTGTTTTTATCTAAAAAAAATAATATATATATATATATATATATATATATATATATATATATATATATATATATATATATATATATATATATAAAAACAGGCTTCTATGTGGACGACTATTTATGCTCTCGTTACACGATCGAGCAATCTAGAGAAAAGGTAATTTGAAAAACAGTGACTGCTGCTGCTATTAACGCATCCCTCTTCAATTACCAATTGACCCCTCTTGGCTACTGACGTTTGTATAAACCTCGTATATAATATGTTAAAATATACCTTTCTCTGCCGTGCACCAATAGATTAGGGGTAGGATCTCTGACTGATGCAAAATCGGTCGAGTTTCGATCGCGACTTGAATCGAACGCCAAGCCACGCAGTCTTGCATGTGGATGACTATATATATATATATATATATATATATATATATATATATATATATATATATATATATATATAAATGAAAAGGAAAGAACACGTTAGGTAAATAACCAAGAGTTCTTTAGTATTTTTGTTTTTATTTTTAAAAAACAGTGCTCCATACAGAAGTAGAGCTTAGATTATAATCATTTTTAAAAAATATGACTCCTTCGCTACATAAGAGTTCTCATGTTTCAAAAACGAGAGCCGAAATCATCCAAATAATTATTAAAATTAAATTGAATTAAAGTAACAAGCTCTGATGAATGTGTATAGGTGTGTTATTAAAATATTTCAATAATTATTACATAAAATAGAGATGAGTGCGACAAGAATGTATATTCCCACCGGATTTATTTAAACTGTATATTTAAGCTTTATTATCATAAGAAGGCTAGAGGACCTACGAGGATTTATAATCGACAGACGTAATCTTGTCTCCACATGCAGATCAGGCTGTGCTGATAGCAGATTCTGATAGAAAACTGAAAGAGCTGTGACAAAAGGTAGCCGAAGTAACCAAGAACAAAGGGCCAACCAGTGACTGTAAAAATATAACAGTTGCGAATAAGTGAAATAACACAAGGTGCGGTAAGTAAAAAGAATCTTGAACATTCTGAAAGATTGGAGCATCATGAAGGATCATAACATATTTTTATGATGTCAACGAACACTCGTTTGAAACTTTTGTGACGCCAAAGAATACTTGTTGTCACTTTCGTAATGCTTGTTGTAGTAGAGACTTTGTAATCGCAGATACACTTACAGTACGCCATTGAACAATACTGGTACCAGACTGCTTCGAATAAGTCTCGTACTTACAGTACTTGCTCGATAATTGTCGCTCGAATAGTAGTCCGTATAGTGATCCAAATAGAGAAAATTATATTGAATAAAGTAGAGTATAGCGGTCCGTATAGTAATAGAGGATAGAGTAGAAATAGTAATCGGAATAGTAATAGAGGATAGACTAGGAATAATGATCCTAATAGTAATAAAGGATAGAATAGAAAAAGCGACTCGACTTCCTATATATGCGTTTCCTCTATGGCCACGTGGTCTATTTAATTCAATAATGGGGTCGCCTGTGTTTGCTCTCTGGCGATCTATGTTCAAACTCAAGTGTCGGCAGTGACACTTTATTCCTATATAACACATATGTTATCCCATTTATATTCCGGGAATATCTTTCTTCGGGATCCTCTGGTCAGTTTAAAGTAGGGTTCCTCAAACCTTTTAGAATATCGATCATTTCATGGAATCCATTATCACTTCTTGACCCATAAGGCATGTCCAAAAACTATTAATAAGAATTATTTTTGATTTAAGGATAAAAAATCCTTTGCCCTATTCGTTCAATATTATTTTTCGATGATTCATTTTAACTTTACTTTATCTTAAGCCTTTTTCAATTGCGATTTCTTTTCCTACACTTTTTTTGTTAATTTGTTATAATAATAATATTGATTCATTCACCGATTTTTTACGGTTTATCAACTTTTTGCAGGTTATTTGAGGACAGAAATTAATTTTTTAGATTGCAAAAATTTTTTTTTAATGATTTACCTATACAAGACCTACTAATTAATCGATAGTTTAGAGTGATAAGCTGTAAAACAAATCACCAGTCGGTCATCACCCGTACTCAAAAAAGATATTTTCCGTTCCAATACACCATTCAAATTATCCATTTTTTTTACTACATTCTTTCTTTTTCAGATTCTGTAAATTCGTATTGATTACTTGACTTGCTTTTTTACGATTTATCAATATTTTGCTGGTCATTTAAACTTAAACATTTTACTGATTAACCCATAGCTGGGGGAGAGGAGGTGGACTCATACCTTTCCCAACGCTATTTGCACATAAGTGAATATAATGAACCAGAATTAATTGAACCTCGGCACTCCAGTTAACAATTCTGTGCCGTTATCCATTACACCACTCGCATATCCAAGCTTACAGCACCTGGTATACCGAAGCGGTCACCCATTTAGGTACTGACTAGGATCAACGTTACTTAACTTCGGTGATATCTTCAGTCTGGAGCTCGGCTCTCCGATTAACAAATTCCTTGCCATTATCCATTACACCACTCGCACATCCAAGCTTACAGCACCTGGTAGTCCGAAGCCGTCACCCATTTAGGTACTGACCATGATCAACATTACTTAACTTCAATGATCGTTCGAGAATCGGTATTTCAACGTTATAAGACCATAAGTCAATAATAATAAAATCTTTATAAATAATATAGGTAATAATAAACACAAAGATCAGTCAGTCAGTTATGGACCATGCGTTATACACATCATTTATCTTTCAATACATGACTGACGAGGCAGATTTTTTCCCGCAGTAGGTTACCATTTCTTTCTGTGGTAGACCAGTTGCCGTCCAAACCTGTATGTCCTGATATTTACCCATAGCTGGAGAGATAAGAAGAGGATTCATACCTTTCCCAATGGTATTAGCACGTAATTGAATGTAATGGATTCGACTGGAATTCGAACTCGGCTCTCCGATTCCCCAATCCGAGCCGCTATCCATTACAGTGCATCCTACAATAAAGATAATATACCTTTTTATTGGATTCGTTGATATCGGAAGGATGTGCTGTTGAGCAATGATATTTGGTTTTAAATTGATGATTTTCGTCGCGCGTCACAATCATTTATTTACCGATCACCTTTTGACCCCCAGGAGAAATGCATGATTATAAATAAAAGATAACAGCTCTTCGGGGACGTATAACTCAAGCAGGTGCGGAAATCTAATTATCCGGGTGGTGTCGTAATTGAAGACATAAAGAGGGAAAGCGGAAGTTCAAAGGCACATGAAAGAGGCCAGAAAATGTCCTCCAAACATTGGACCACTAGGATAGATTGATTGATTGGTTTGTTTAACGGCACATCAACACCTTATGAGTCATTTAATGCCTAAATTTAATTTTCTTCGGAGCTTAAAAGTAATAAAATATGATATGTTATTCTGCTTTCACAGTTGAATACATGGTAGATAATACTTAGCTTTTGTACATGTACATGTTTGTGTGGACATGATTACTAGATGTGGTTACGTGTGTGCTTTGTGCTGTAGTTTTGTTGAAGTTATATTTTGGAATACAGTTTAAATTAAGAAAATGTAGAATATTATATGGATTAAAGTCATGGGTGTTTTTTTTTCATTTTGACTGTTTAGTTGATTTTGTTTCGTGGCATATCAACACTTCTATGGCTTATATAATGCCAAAATCTAAATATTTTGAAGGCAATTATATGCCTTGAACCCCAGATAAACTGTAATGTTGGTCACTTTGCTATAAATGAGTATTGTTGGTAATTCTACTATATATAAAAATGTATTGGTGATATTTTTTACTATAAAATGTATTTGTATGCTTTCATAGAGCTTTGTTTTTGTTTGCCCATATCTGGGACCCTAACAGGTGCTGCCACCGCGCCATCAATTACACCACCCATACATCCAATCTTACAGCATCTGGTATTCCCAAGCAGTCACCCATCTATGTACTGAGATGATGGGGAGACATGAGCAAACTTTTGTTCGTAATTAGGCTTATAAACACAGAAGCGCATAAAGTATCTATGTCAAGCTGCAGGTCCATGTTGCCCTAAACAGAACTGGATTCCAAGACAAAGAACTGTTGACGAATCATGCAAAACAGAAAAAAAACGTGTCAGAGTGAACCTAGGAACAACAGCAAATAAGATATGGTTCCACGCTCCTCAAAATCTCCAATCTTCCGATTTGAGGTTTTGCTGCCGGGTGTAGTTTATCGTCATACCCAGGACTGGACCGCTACGTAATGTCTAGTATTCTATAAATTAGTGAATGCTGGAAAATGAAGAAGAGACTTGAAGCGACGAAAATTTGTTTTTCGACCAACAAAGATGTAAGTATGGCAGAATGGATGACCGCTCGAAATGACAACTCGGAGATTGGAGTTCGAATTCTACTCGGGTCAGTTATAGTTCCTTTTGCGCAAATACCCTTAAGAAATATATGAATCGATACCATGAATCCTCCTTACAGCTGTAGGTTAAAAATACCCTTAAGAAAGATATGAATCAATACCATGAATCCTCGTTACAGCTATAGGTTAAAAATACCCTTAAGAAAGATATGAATCGATACCATCAATCCTCGTTACAGCTGTAGGTTAAAAATAACCTTAAGAAAGATATGAATCGAAACCATGAATCCGCCTTACAGCTATAGGTTAAATATTAGAACTTGTATCTGGAAAAATCATTCTGGATGCCATAGTAAACGCCACAACGAGAAAGACGGTGGCAAAAGATCAAGAATCATGTTAAGTCGGAAAAGAAAGGAAGCTGTGGGGAGACGTGATTGTCTACGTCCTGTGAGAACATGGCACACAAAAAGATATTTATGAATGCCACACAATGGTTATAAGACCGCTATTTGCCCACAAGCTTTCTTGCGACCGACAGGAATCTTTTTTTTTTCTCTCACCGCGTCCTTTTATCCATCAAATGTAGAAGATTCTTTAGAGAAGACGCTTAGCACAAAGAAGACGTCTTTTGTAGGCTGGAAGTGATTTTGTTTTCAAAAGAGCAGCCAGTCAGAACGCCAGAGCAGCTAAGCGAATATTCTAGAACAGTCCAGTGCATTCACTGATTTCACATTGGTCAGTCATTGCTTCCCCTTGTCAAAACTAACTTTTCACGGTGAGACACTCACGGATAAATACGTCGCCCCAGAAATTTAGACAGAAAATATCTGGAAAAAAAAAAGAATGAAACAAAAGTAACAATAGAAATGAAGGATTTGATACGACACCTTCCTATTATCGCTTCTCATTGTACTGGCCAAGAAACCTGGCTATAGAACTTGGAATTGGTGGGGTGGGGCTACTCTCACCAACACCTTCCAAACGCAAAAGAGTAGACACAAGTGGGTAATCTCATATCGGGGACACCGGTTAAAATTCCAGACATTATATGCAGCAGCAGCAGTAGCAGCAGTTTATATTTCATCGTCGTTTTTTCTTCTTCTTCTTCTTCTTCATGCTGCTCTTTCTATTTTATGTTCTTTCGACTTCTTCACGATTTTTAAAATATTTTCATTATTTTCGCCATTTTTAATTTCCGTTGTATTAGACTTTTTTTTTTTTCTTCCTCTCCTCTTCTTCCTCGATTTCCTCCTCCTCCTCCTCCTTCTCCCCTCCTCCTTCTCCCCTCCTACTCCTTCTTCTCTTCCTCTTCCTCCTCCTTCTTCTTTATCTTCCTTTTCTTCTTTTTATTCTTCTCGTCCGTCTTCTTCCTTTTTCACTTGCTTTACACTGGTCTTTTTCTTCTTCTCCTCGTCGCGTTTGATTTCTTTGATCCTCCTTTTCTTTTCTTTTTATTCTCATCATATTTTCCAATTAATCTTCTTCTGTGACATATTCATTCATTCATTCATTCTTGTATTCTTTTTTATTTTACTCTTTTTTTCATCTAAATGTTTCTCCCTTAGCGTTCTTTTTCTTCTTCATTTATTTTATTCTTTTTTCTCTTTCTTTCATTTGACCAACTTATTTTCTTTCTTTTTCTACTTTTTCTTCACTTTCTGCTCCTTCTCTTTCTTCTTCTTTTTCTTCTTCTTCTTCTTCTTCTTCTTCTTTTCTCCTTTTTCTTCTTCTCGTCCGTCTTCTTCCTTTATCATTTCCTTTATATTGTTTTTTCTTTTTTCTTCATCTTCTTTTCCTCTTTCTTCTTCTTCTTCTCCGCCTCCTCCTAGTTCTTCCCTAGTTCTTTTTATTTAACTGGAATCACCCCAAGCAAAACAGTAATGCGACTAATACACAAGGTGTGGAAGAATTAGGAACAGAAACATTAATGATGGGCAGAAAGAGAAGAGAGTAATGAAGTGGACAGTAGATAGCGATTGACATTGCATTTAAATTTTTGCAGATGAAAGTAGACTGCAAAGCAAGGAACCGGAAGAAAGTTCCACAAGCGAGAAGTGCAAGAAAAGAAACTGTTAGCATAGAATTTACGGCTACTAGCTAGCTCAACTGTAAATTGATGAGATGCCGACGCCAGTGCAGGGTTGCACTTAAATTTAAAAATTCTAGGTACCATAGCAAAGAGTTCATTCGTTAATTATCATGAAAGTATTTATAGAAAAGAAATAGAGAGGCAACCTTACGGCGATGAGAAAATGACTGGAGACTGAGTCGCCAGATCAGGACCAATAATATTGCAGATTCTTCTTTTGATTATATAAAGGAGCTGAAGGGGTACCGGGCCATATATAACAGGAATATTCTAAGAATGGAGAAATGGTAGACTTATAGATATGTAAGGTAGATTCAGGAGAGAAAATCTGTCTCCTCCGATATAATGAACCGACTTTCTTAGCAGTTGATCTAGCATTGGATTCAATATAGTTTTTTCCACTTCATATCCGCAACAAACGTTAGCCTCTTTCTTCTCCCCTTCTTCTTTTCTTTGGTGGACTCTCCCGTCGTATTCGACGTATGAGGGTCATAACTCAGTCCCTAGGAACCGACAGCCAGACACCAGCACATACGATTTGATTATAATGGTGAAGGCTTTGTGCAGAACCAACCACACTTTTTTTTCTTTTTTTTTTTTTTTTTTTTTTTTTTTTTTTTTAAGGGCTGAATACAGAAATCTGGTGCACTCCTGTACACAGTCTCCAAACAACCTTCCGAAGGCTTTGAATTCAGACTACTTCTTCTAGACCATTTGCCATCCCAGGATATAGAACCTAGTCCGTTCTGCTAATTGCCCATAGTTGGAGAGAAAAGAAGAGGATTCCTACCTTTCCCAAGGTAAGTGAATAAACCATTTCTTGACCATGATTAATAACAATTTCGGTTTAGGCACCGGAGACCAGACAGTACCACCTCACAACACTTAAATTGAAACGTCAAGTAATTTTCTAATGTCTTTTGTCTGCTTTTTCTTTACTTTTATTTCTGTATTTCTGATTTCGTACTCTAAATTCTTTTTCACTAAATTCCTACGTTTTTATTCCTTCATTCCCCCCCTTTTTTTTCTTTTTTTCTTATTTCATACACGTATCCATTTTTCTACTCCCCCACTTTCATCTGCTATAGTTTTGTTGTTTTCTTCTTGTTATTTTTCTCTTTTACTTTTAATTATTTTCTCATCCGAGGTATTTATTGTCTGAATTTCTAACAAGAGATACGTGGGGTATGTTTTCCGCCTGAAAAATCATTTCTTATCAGTAGAAACGGTGATTGCCCAATCAGAATTCATGAAACGCGTTGGACTGTTCAGTAATGTTCGGTTTGGTAGTTTCTTATTCGGATTGGCTGTTCATTTAAAATTCAAAATCGCTTCCATCTTAAATAAGAAGTTACATCCGTATCAGCTAACTACGACGGAGTGCTGAAAATGTAAACATTTTGACCATTTTATTTTGCAAAGTGGGTAGGAACGAGTAAGTTTCGGCACCGCATTCTATACCAACACTTGGAGTATGGATTATTCCGAACAATGGGTGAATTCTTATGACGAAAGGAACACATATATTTGGGGTTCACCAGCGTGATGAACAACTAGTATGATAGGTAAGGGCACCTCGAGGTGGTGTAATCGTTACCAATCTTGTCTCGCTAGAACAATTACGGCTGAGTAGCGAGTTTGATTCTCACTGGGTGCTCCCAAATTTCCGCCTTGTGCCACATCTAGGCTATGTTTGGAAAATCACTAGTATGATAGGTAATGGATACCAAACATACATTATTATTATTAGTAGTAGTAGTAGTAGTGTTATTAATATTATTACTTCAATCGTTATGTTAGTGGACACTTCTTATTTGAAATAGTTGGCCTTTTTTATTTAGTGCGTCTAACTAAATTCGAGAAATCTTAGTACAAAAAAGAACATATAAAATTTGATAAACCGATAGACGTAATGCACACTGTTTAATAAATAAAAAAGTGGCGTCTGCTTCAAATACGAAGTGCCAGTATAAATAACGATTGAAGGAAAAAAAACAATGGATTAAAATGAATCCATATATATATATATATATATATATATATATATATATATATATATATATATAAGTATAGGACTGGTGTATACGGAATAAATTCCAATAGCCAACAAATACTATTCTTAAAAGAGTGCTCAATACGGAGTAGAGCAAATATAATCATTTATTCGAAAATTATAACATAAATGTGTTATAAAATCACTACAAAAAATATCCATTTTGTTTCAACATTTCTGAGGTCTTATGGTGATGGTGTTGATTCTATGTTATAATTTTCGAATAATTATATATATATATATATATATATATATATATATATATATATATATATATATATATAAAGATGTTTTGTAGGTAAAAATTTAATGATCGAAATAAAAGTATAAAACTTAATATTACGAGACATATTTAAACAAAAAAAAAACAGGCGAAGCAACCGGTTTCGCTCCCGCTCTTCAGGCTTCAACGGAAGATTTAAAATTAACACAGATAAATGTACAATAAAAGGAAGTTGCGGAAGAAAAAAAATTAGAGAAAGGAACTAGAGGCAAATGACAGCGATCCCAACAAACACTCACGTTGTTTACACAAAGAAGGCTTATGGGACCCGATGTAAAGTGCCTCCAGAACCTTTAGATGAAATAAAGAGTGAGACCGGGACAACACGGTAAACCAGTCAGCACTAAATTTGGCTGCACAATCTCTGTTCTTTAATAGGTGTTCGCATATGGCGGAACTATAGGTGTTCGGGACGAGTCCATTCAAAGGCAAGGTGTGATTTCTAATTTTTATAGGAACGTGTTGTTTTATTCTCATATCTAAGCGTTGAGTTGCTCTCCCTATGTCGTCGGCTCCGGAACTACAAACGTATTTATAAATAATTGAATTAATTTGATGGGGAGGGAGAACGTCTTTACACGCAGCTCGAAACATAGGCCGAGTTTGAAAAATAATCCGAACTTCAGCAGAGAAAAAACAACAACGAACATTGGATGAAATTTGTTTGGCTATTTTTTTCACATTTGGTACAAATCCAGGGTAATCTGAGGTAAACTGGGCATTTTTTGACCGTGTAGAGCTCAGCACTTCTGAACTCTTCAACTTTACTACGGATAACTGAATTAACAGTATCAAGAGGATAACCCAAATTACATAGGGTATCCTTAATAAAGTTGATTTTGTCATTCAAGAAAGGCTCAGAGCAGATCTTTAATGCTCTATGTAGGAGGTTTTTAATGTTAATCTTGCGCTTATTAGGACAAAAGAGTCCCAACGCGTGTACAACCTCAGAAAGTAGGTTTTCTATAAACGGAAGTGAGAAAACCTGTTAATGTGCGATGTACTAATACATCCAAAAAGGCCAATTGATGGTTGGATTCTTTTTCAATAGTGAACCTCAGTGCTGGATGGATACCATTTAAAAACGAAAGAAACTGGTCAGCCTCAACTTCACTGTTAAATAAACAGAAGGTGTCATCAACGTACCGACAGTACATTTGAGGACAAAGTGGATTCTTTCGTATCTTTTCTTCCTGAAAGCCAACAAATGTGTTGGCAAGCGCCGGACCCAAAGGTGAGCCCATAGCCCATATTTAGTTTATGAAAAACTAGGTAATACGTATGGGTAAACCTAAGGATGATAAAATCCAGAGAGCTCAATGTGAATCCAGAGCAAATCTGTTTTTATTTAAAATATATATATATATATATATATATATATATATATATACAAGATGTTACTAAAGTCTGGTCAGGAAATTTCATTAACTAATTTTTTTTCACTTTAACAAATTAAACATCGTTTTGTTACAAGAAGAAAGAATTGACTTCTTTTTGTGGGCTATGCTAAAGAAGGTGTAGTCAATGAAAATCACCGATGCAACACACTTCATTGAACGCATAAAGAGTGGGTGTGTTAAAATTGATGGCAATGTGGAGTTATTGCATCGATTTCACTTGAATCTTGCAAAGCGCATCAACCTTTTCATCACAAATAATGGAAATCGTAGTGAAGATGTTATTTGTTAATATTCCATTCAATAAAATGTTGTTGAAAATTTAATTTCTTGAAAATATGCATTTTTTCCCTATGTATCCAGACTTTAGGGACTCTCTGTATATGATATATATATATATATATATATATATATATATATATATATATATATATAGAGAGAGAGAGAGAGAGAGAGAGAGAGAGAGAGATTTATTTTTATTTATTTTTATATATGGACTCGCTCTCTAGATGTGTTTAGTTTTGAGAATTTTTTTTTTTTAAACAAATCATCCCAAGTGAGGCTGGAGTGTCACTAGCACGCAAGGGGTCACAGAGAGTGAGAGTAAGAGTAAAGAGGAGGGGTCACAGAGAGGAGAGTAAGAGTAAAGGGGGGTCACAGAGAGAGAGTAAGAGAAGAGGGAGGGGTCAAGAGAGTGAGAGTAAGAGTAAAGAGGGAGGGGTCACAGAGAGTGAGAGTAAGTGTAAAGAGAGAAGGGTCACAGAGAGTAAGAGTAAATAGGGAGGGGTCACAGAGAGTAAGAGTAAAGAGGGAGGGGTCACAGAGAGTGAGAGTAAGAGTAAAGAGGGAGGGCTCACAGAGAGTGAGAGTAAGGGTAAAGCGGGAGGGCTCACAGAGAGTGAGAGTAAGATTAAAAAGGGAGGGGTCACAGAGAGTGAGAGTAAGAGTAAAGAGGAGTGTTTGAGAAAAGGATAATGAAGAAAAGGAGAGGGATCAAGTTCAATGCATGAGAAGATGTCGATTGACATTACATTTGAATATTTGAAGATTATAGCTATCACGGAAGCAAGTGATAGGTAGGGAGTTCCACTGACGAGAGGTGCGAGAGCTGTTGGAGTAGAAGAGATGGCTACACTTCGCCGTTTGGCTAGTGAAAGGGTGGAACAGAGGTGCCAACTTTGTAGCACGCTTAAATTCATTCAGTTTGGGAACCAGTGAAAGTATCTTGTTGGAGCAGTTGCCATGAAAATATTTGTACAAAGGTTAAAAGGTTTTAGGCGATTCTTCAATATACAGTCTATGGCCCCTATTTAGCCTATAGTGTATGTACCTATATATATATATATATATATATATATGTGTGTGTGTGTGTGTGTGTGTGTGTTTCAAATTTTAAGAGAGGTTATATCTATAAAAGACCAATATGACTAAAGAGAAAAAGGAAAACTTACCTTTGCCGACGTGTTTCAACCTCTGAGGTAATTTATCAAATGCAAGGATTTTATTTTGTAACAAGGAGTCATAGGCAAGAGCATAAATATTACTGGCTTTTCAAAATTTTTAAGTTTAAGAAGGATCATAAATATTTATCAAGTCGGATGAAATGTCAGGCAAACTATGGAGCCTGCGAAGTGATACAATTCAATGTCTAATAAACGAAAGTGGATAAATGTTATTCTTGAAATAATGCCTTCAGTATGTCCTGCAAGTGTCAGTTTTACCAAGCCTACTTTCCTCATTATGTGTCTTAAATATTTCAACTGTTTCTTTCTGATGTTAAATATAAGTTTCCTTTTTATTACTATTTTTCTAAAACTTCGTCGTTGCTCACATGTTCATGGTGTCCTCGCCATCCTTCTGTAGAACCACATTAGAGTTACTTCAAGTCTCTTCTTCATCAGTGAGGAAATTGTCCAGTATTCAATGCCATATAGGAGAAATTATATTACATAAGATTTCAGCACCCTTTTCTTTGTTTCAAACGTAATCTTCCTGCAATATCTGTCCATATTTCTGAAATAAGGTATTGTAACTATTTACACTATTTACATTGTTCAAACTGTGGTCCTCAGCTTTGCTGTATATTCACGATGTTTCCGTCGTTGTACGCTCCGGCCTTCTTCAGGTGATTGGAATTTCGAACCCTTTATTTCGTCTACCGGGGTAGATTGTTCTTGTTCCACATGCCATGCCTCTTCTGGATATCTCTATTTCAGTTATTTCGCAGTGAATAAAAGCGTTGGTTGAAGTAGGCCAGTGTTGTGAGTTCAATACCTGGCCACAGCAGAAGTGAATAAAAATTTAGAGGGTTGACAAAGGGAACTAACTGAAATTGAGATATTCGGAAGAGAAGAGGCATGACAAGTGGAACTAGAACAATCAACCCGGTGGGAGAAATAAAGGGTCCCGTTCGAAATTACAATCACCTGAAGAAGGCCGGAGACAACAACGGCCGAAACGTCGTGTATATGACAACAAAGATGAGGATAAAAGCCCGAAGAATGCAAATAGTGTAATCTTCCTGTTTCTTTGCTTAGCTTTTAAGAGGAAATTTTCCCAATGCATCTTCGGATTTCGCTGCAGAGAACTAAATTCAGCAACCAATCCGTGTTTATTTGGGAATGAAACTAGGTGCATTTATTAAACGTTATGAATTTCGTAAATTATTTTAAAGACAGTCAATTAAGTTCCATGAGTAATTTTTTAAGCATTTCACCCCAAGCAAGGCAGGAGTACCACTAGTACGTAAGGAGTTACAGAGACTGAGAGTAAAAAGTGGCGTTTGAGGAAAGAATGAAGAGAAGGACTGGGATCGAGATCAAGGCATCAGAAGATGTCGATTGACATTACATTTGAATATTTGAAGATTATAGCTATTAGGGAAGCAAGTAAGAGGAAGGGAGTTCCACTGACGGGAAGAGCGAGAGAAGAAGATGTTGGAGTAGAAGAGACGGTTGCATTTAACTGTTTCGACAGTGAAAGAGTGGGACCCAGATGCCAACCTAGAGCAGTTGCCATGAAAACATTTGTAAAAAAGACAGATGGAAGCCACATCACGCCTGTAAGAAAGTGACTGTAGTCGAGATGCCAGGTCAGGACCTATAACATTGCATATCCGTCTTTGGATTTTGTCGAGAACCTCGAGATGAACAGCGAGGGCACCAGGCCATATATGGCAACAGTCTTACTATCTATCTATCTATCTATCTATCTATCTATCTATCTATCTATCTATCTATCTATCCTTCTTCCTTGTCTAATTTTCCCTGAGATAAATTTCGTTTGCGAATTTTAGCTTCATCTCAATAAACAAGTAATACTCGTCTGCAGCCCCTCTCTCACAGACGTGCCGTCGCCTCCCTCTGTCTTTTTTAAATACCTTCACGGTAACTGCTCCCGATGAGTTGCTTTCGCTGGTTCCCCAGACTACATGAATTGAAGCGTTCAACTAGACTGACATCTCGCTCTCACCCTTTCACTGTCGAAACTGTTAAATGTAGCCGGTTTTCAATCTCGCACTTGCCTGTGGAACTCCCTCCCATTTCTTGTTTTCCTGATAGCTATAATCTCCAACTATTCAAATAAAATGTCAATCGACGTCTCCAGATGCCTTGATCTATCCCCTAATCTTCTCTTCATCCTTTCCTCTATCGCTCCTCTTTGCTCTCGATTCTCTGTGACCCCACGAGTGGCTTCCCGCCTGGCTTGGGTTTGAATGCTTAAAAAAATAAAAATAAAAATAAAATAGCAGCTAATTTTTGCACGTTTTGAAAGCTAGGAGTGTAGATGATGTACCAGGTAATACGGAAGGTTAACAAAGCAATATATATATATATATATATATATATATATATATATATATATATATATATATATATATATATATATATCAGGACCACATTTACCTTTAAAAAAGTATAACTCTTAATAGCGGTCCTTCGATTTGATTACAGTTGGCTAGTATATAAAGTTCGGGCCACTTTCGATTAAATGCGTTAAAGGGGGAAATCTATACTTCCCATGAGACAAGATCGAAGAAAAATATCGATTAAATCTGATATGGACAGAAAAAAATGGAGTCACAGACAAATGTGCAAAAGTGTTGGATAGATGAGATAGAATCTCGATTGAAGATGAAAATGGTACTGATCAACATGAAGGTGGCAGTGGGTAATGCTGTCCAGTCTGGTCGGGTGTGCTGGGAGGGGGGGTGGAATGGAAAGTCGGGGAAAGACACAGAGATATGTCCAAGCAAAAGGTATGACATCGTACGAGCAGAAAGGTGATCTTTTTCTTTCTGTCGTTTTCATTCAGACTGCTGAAAGTCGAAAAAGAACAGGGCGATGCTAGAAACCTAACGTGACTTGAATCTGGCTGGTGTTAGAAGGTGATGTAGCCGGATGGGGTGCATGGCCAGGTAGTGTCAGTTTTGGATGAATACTTTGTCAGAATTGATGTGGGAATATCGGAGAGAGAAATTAAGAAAAAAAATAATCGCTCAAGCATTAGAGTGGTTTTGGTTGAGAATTAGTAAAGTGTACTTAAAGAAAAATGAATAAATGAGAAGCGAAAAATACAGGAACAAAGGTTTAAGAAATGAAAAGAAAGAAATGAAAAGAAAGAAAGAAAGAAAGAAAGAAAGAAAGAAAGAAAGAAATGCATGGATAAAAGTGAAAGAAAGAAAGAAATGCATGGATAAAAGTGAAAGAAAGAAAGAAAGAAAGAAAGAAAGAAAGAAATGCATGGATAAAAGTGAAAGAAAGAAAGAAATGCATGGATAAAAGTGAAAGAAAGAAAGAAAGAAAGAAAGAAAGAAAGAAAGAAAGAAAGAAAGAAAGAAAGAAAGAAAGAAATGCATGGATAAAAGTGAAAGAAAGAAAGAAAGAAAGAAAGAAAGAAAGAAAGAAAGAAAGAAAAGAAAGAAAAAAAAAAGAAAGAAATGCATGGATAAAATGAAAGAAAAAAGAAAGAAAAATAAAATGCATGGATAAAAGTGAAAGAAAAGAAAGAAAGAAAGAAAGAAAGAAAGAAAGAAAGAAAGAAAAAAGAAAAAGAAAACATGGATAAAATTGAAAGAAAAGAAAGAAAGAAAGAAAAAAGAAAGAAAGAAAGAAAGAAACAAAGAAAGAAAGAAATGCATGGATAAAAAGTGAAAGAAAGAAAGAAAGAAAGAAAAGAAAGAAAGAAAGAAAGAAAGAAATGCATGGATAAAAGTGAAAAAAAGAAAGAAATGCATGGATAAATTTGAAAGAAAGAAAGAAAGAAAGAAAGAAAGAAAGAAAAAAGAAAGAAAGAAAGAAAGAAAGAAAGAAAGAAAGAAATGCATGGATAAAAGTGAAAGAAAGAAAGAAAGAAAGAAAATAAATGGATAAAATGAAAAAAGAAAAGAAAGAAAGAAAAAAAGAAAAGAAAGAAAGAAAGAAAAAAAAAAATGCATGGATAAAAGTGAAAGAAAGAAAGAAAAGAAAGAAAGAAAGAAAGAAAGAAAGAAAGAAAGAAAGAAAGAAAGAAAGAAAGAAATGCATGGATAAAAGTGAAAGAAAGAAAGAAAGAAAGAAAGAAAGAAAGAAAGAAAGAAATGCATGGATAAAAGTGAAAGAAAGAAAGAAAGAAAGAAAGAAAGAAAGAAAGAAAGAAAGAAAGAAAGAAAGAAATGCATGGATTAAAGTGAAAGAAAGAAACAAAGAAACAAAGAAAAGAGATTTAAAATGAAAAATAAAACATAAGAACATAATAAATGCATGGATAAAAGTTGAAGAAAGAAAGAAAGAAAGAAAGAAAGAAAGATTTAAAATGAAAAATAAAACATGAGAAAAAATTAATAATTATCATGGATAAAAATGGGAGAAAGAAACAAAGAAGGATTTTAAAACGAATGAAGAAAGGTTGGGGAAGGAAGTAAATCATTGATAATTTTTTTTGGAAGAAAGAAAGATTTTAAGAATAAAGAATGAGAAGAAAGAAAATCCCTAAAACTGGGAATGGTTAATGAAGAAGAAATAAATATGAATGAAAGAAAAAGAAGAAAAAGAAAAAAATATTCGAGAATAATAAAGAAAGATAAAAAGAAAAAAGGTGAGAGAAAGAAAAGGAAGCAATAATACAGAAGGAGAGAATGAAAAAGAATCCCAAAAATGGTGAAATAAACAAATCAAAAGGAAGAAATGAAAAAAAAAGAACAAAAAAAAAGGCAAACGATGAAAATAAGAAAGAATTAGAAAAGTTAGGAAAAGTAGAAGAGCGAGGAAGAAGCTGATAAATAAAATTTTAAAAAGTGTTCTTCTGAAGAATGAAAAAAAAAAAGAAATATTTAAAAGTCAAATAAATGCTTAAAAGGAAGTCTTGGAGAAAGCCTTATAGAATTGGCCGACAAATACACTTAACTTAAGAATGGGCATAAATACAGACGGACCGACTTTGTAAAGTGATGTCGCAAGAAAAAAAAAAAAAGAAAAAGAGTAAGAAAACGAAATTTCCATTAGAATACAAAAAAAAAGAAAAAAAAACGCCCTTCCATTATAATCAAAGACATTTGCAAGAAAGTCGGAAGATTCGTGAAGAAAATCGTAGAAGATTAGTCAACATTGGTATTATTCAGTTTCGGTAAATTTTACTCAAATGACAATGTACATGAGATGGGCACAATCCCTAATCTGCGGTGCGTAGATATTGAACTATTTCAGATTTAGGGTGTCTCTCGAGGCAAAACCTTCTGGATGATTTGAAAATAAGAAAACCGCTTAACTTTAATGTTATCGTGTGTGAAATGGAGAGAGCCTGAAAAAAATGTGGGGGAGAGAAATGATGAGGAGCGCATGAAAGAGAAAAGAATTTGGGGAAGAGATGATGAAAATAGTATTAACAATATGGGATAAGACGTAAATCAGATGGAGAAAAGGAAAAAAATAGATAGATAGATAGATAGATAGATAGATAGATAGATAGATAGATAGATAGAATGGGATAAATACAGAGAGAGAGAGACAAATAAATGAGATAAAAAATAGAATGCTACAGAAAAATATGACGACTAGAATGAGGCAAATAGATAGATAGATAGATAGATAGATAGATAGATAGATAGATAGATAGATGGGAGGAATATGAGAAAGATAGAAAAGAGAAAATAGAATGAGATAGATAGATAGATAGATAGATAGATAGATAGATAGATAGATAGATAGATAGATAGGAGGAATATGAGAAAGATAGAGAGAAAATAGAATGAGATAGATAGATAGATAGATAGATAGATAGATAGATAGATAGATAGATAGGAGGAATATGAGAAAGAGAGAGAGAAAATAGAATGAGATAGATAGATAGATAGATAGATAGATAGATAGATAGATAGATAGATAGATAGATCTGAGAGAATATGAGAAAGAGAGAGAGAAAATAGAATGAGATAGATAGATAGATAGATAGATAGATAGATAGATAGATAGATAGATAGATAGATGCTTTTTACCCGAAAATGAAACAGGAAAAGATTTCATTTTTTAACAAGAGTACTTGAAGACCTCACCAATATCCTGAAGGGACACGACACATAGAAAAAGAACACTTGAAAGACTATAGTGTAATATATTTTTTTAATTAATACTTCCTTATTATTTTAATTATTTTAATTACTACTTTTATTGCTTTTGTTATCTTTATTATTATTATTATTATTATTATTATTATTATTGTTGTTGTTGTTTTATTTCTGGTTTATACTCATTTCTTTCCGGGTCCCAACCAGAGACCTAAAGTCAGAAATGACCTCATGACATTTTTAGGAAAAAACAACCTAAGATAACACATATTTTACATAGAAAAAGCCCTTCGTAAGGTGTGGGGTCATACCTGTATTTCAGTGAGTCTGTTGGAATATTTTCCAATCAGTCCGACAGCTCCAACTACAACTGGAGTTGTTGATGTCGTCATGTGCAACATTTTGAGATTTCGGTTTCAAGGCCCTTCTATTTTGATAGTTATTTTTGAAGATCTTCAATGATACATTGCAGTCTTCAGGGACTGCCGTGTCAATTAGAAGGCACATTTTATTCTTGCGGTCTCTGATCATAATGCCAATGTATCAAAATTAGATACTACCACCAAATATCTGATGTGTACTATAGACAAGAAGGTAAAGAATTCTATTATACTTTACTTTGTAACGACCAGTTACAGCCCCGTTGGCGATAAAATTTCAGTTGCTGTTTCGACTCTCCAATGAGACAACGATTGTAACCATCTGTGAACCAGTGAATTCGTCCTAAATAAGGACGTAAACGATATCACCGAGGCTGTACTGTATCCCTCCTAGAGAAGTTGCGAATAATACCACCTTTTTTACTTGTCCATTCACATATTGATTGCTATTTTCATTATCTGTCTATATTTCTGAGATGAGGCATTATATACAACATTTACATTATTCGGACTATTGTCCTCATCTTTGTCGCCATATTTATTACAACGTTTCGGCCGTTGTACGATCCGGCGTTCTTCAGATGGCTGGAATGTCGAACTGAACCCTTTATTTCGCTTGCTGGGGTAGACTGTTCTAGTTCCACGTGTCATGTCTAAAGGATATCAGTTATCAGTTATCTCCTGTTAATTCACCTTAATTAATACTGTTAATACTATTAATAATTCATATGCGAATAACAAACAGCATTAGAAAGGCCGAGATGGGCATCAACTGAAAACGTCGTGATCAAAGCCACAATGATCAGGATAGTATATTGAATAACTGAAGACCTATATAAATAATTCATCTTGGAACTCCAGACAGCATTAGAAAAGCCAGTGTGATGAAAACGACAAAGACGAACATTTTAATCTGAATAATTCATGGAATGGTGATAATGGTTCATCAAAAAACGCCAGACAACTTTTTTGTTTTATTCTTCTAATTTGCAAATATGCACTGTGAAACTTGAAAGCAGAAACAATAGCCTCGTTTTCGATTACGATATTAAATTCGATATTTCCTTGACTTATTGCAAAATACTATTTCGTTAGTCACTCTATCTTTCAATGCCAACTAACACGCACAAATACACACCCACCCACATACACACATATATACATATAATTATATTAATTTAAATATATATATATATATATTATATATATATGTGAACATAGAAGTCAAAACTTAGAGGCGACAGTCTGTTTCATGCTAGATGCAATCGTCAGGCCATATATAAATACTGTCTATTTCGTTAGTCACACTATCTTTCGCTGCCAACTAACACGCACAAATACACACCCACCCACATACACACATATATACAAATAATTATATTAATTAAAGCATATATATATATATAAAAGTGAACATAGAAGTCAACACTTAGAGGCGACAGTCTGTTACATGCTAGATGCAATCGTCAGGCCACATATATATATATATATATATATATATATATATATATATATACATGAATTATTCACACAAAACTAATGCAAAGGTTAATGATTTAAATGGCGAGACATCCATCTCGCAAACAATTCAAATAGTACACAAAAACCTCCAGATCCGTTATGAATGAATTGATCCTTGTTTATATAAATTTCTGCCGTATTAGTTGTTATTTTTACTACAAGCTTTCGTCTGTTCCTACAGACATCTTCAGGTATATAATAGATGTTGTTCTTGTTTTTTTCTCTTAGTAATAAGTTTTTGCATTAGTTTGTGTGAATAATTCATGTATTTGTAAATTGATTGCACGTTTATTGTAATTTAAATAACTGATCCATGTGCGACTTTTGGTTAATAAGTGCGACATTACTGTAATTATTGAACAATATAGTTCATGCCACTTTGACAGTAAAATTTACCAGTAAAATAATTTGTTCATTACCATATTTGGTATAAACGCAAACACTTTAAAAAAATTTTTCAAACTCAGCGTTGCTTTGGCGCGTTCAAAAACCAATATCTCATTTTCAATAGCATTTCGGATACAATACACATATATTTTCGATGTCCTCTTATTACTAAGAGAAAAAACAAGAACAACATCTATTATATACCTGAAGATGTCTGTAGGAACAGACGAAAGCTTGTAGTAAAAATAACAACTAATACGGCAGAAATTTATATAAACAAGGATCAATTCATTCATAACGGATCTGGAGGTTTTTGTGTACTATTTGAATTGTTTGCGAGATGGATGTCTCGCCATTTAAATCATTAACCTTGCATTAGTTTAGTGTGAATAATTAATGTATTTGTAAATTGATTGCACGTTTATTTAATTTAATATATATATATATATATATATATATATATATATATATATATATATAATAATTAATTAAAGAATATCAAAGACATGAAATCCCATGGGTAATAATTTTATTTCATGAGAGCTCTAAAAAGTAGCAGCTTTCAAGACCTGCAAACAAATCACAAATGAAATGGAAAGAAATATATTCCCGGTTAAAATCAAGAGATATTGCTATTTTATTTAGAGAGTGGGAAAAGGCGGAGAGTGTTGACCTATTTTGACATACTGACCTCAGTATGCCATTTGAGAACGATGGAAGGGCTTGAGAATGGTAGAAGGACTTAAAGTATAGTTAGAACGATCCCGGCTTGGGTAGCAATCCTTCTTTTATCACCAAAACTAGTGACGTTTCGTCATCACCGAACGGACCCTAAATTTTCGCCTCTCGCGATGAACGGATGTTCTCTCAGGGAGACCCTGTGTTTTGAACACCGATCGGGACTTAAGTCCATCCCAGACCTCGTACATACGATACATCGTTAAAGATGCTAGAAAATTAGTCGGTTTCATAGACCGCGCCAGTAAATACCTGACTCATCCTGATATTCTTTACATTTACAAGAGTGAGATCAGGCCTAAAATGGACAAGTGCTGCCATATATGGACAGGAGATGCCCAGTCTTCCCTTTCCAGCTTTGATAGGGTCCAAAAACGTCTTCGTTTTCGTTGCATGGTGGGGCCGAGCTGTAAAGGTTTGAACCGATGAAACTAAGGCATATAGCTAGTCTAAACGTTTGCCATAAAAATAACTATACACTAGAGACAAGGTTGCAACGTTTCGTCTATAGGAAAAATAATTAAAAGCCCACAAGGCCCTTTAGTATTTGATCTATTGCTTTGAATATGCGCTCTTTTAGCGCTAGAGGGCGTCGTCAGTGATGTTCTGAAGTTGGATCATTGGGCAGTTTCGGGTCTTTCAAACATCATACTGACCTCACCAAATCGACCCCATCAGAGCTGATCAGACTCTGAAACACCCTATAAAAAATGCTTGTAGACACTGACTTCTATAAATGTACCCCGTTATCACACATTTGATTGGAGGTTGACCAACAGCCAATCACAACGGCGCGAACTCTATTTAAGCTGTTTACGGGTATTTTTTTTTTCTTTTTTTCATTTTTGAGTGGACACCCTTTTTAATTTTGGCGTATATAAGACTTATATAAAAGTTTTAGAAGCTAATGTTTCGGAGAAAATATAAGAAAATGAAGTCTTTTGACTTCTTTTGAAAATTAAGGACAGTAATTAGATAAGGTGATGCAGCTCAGTGCAACAGCATTGACATAGAGTGAGTTCAAGAGGACAATTTTAGTGTTCTCTTTAGTGGAGCTGGAGGTTTTCGACCCCCTGTAACCATTGGCTTAGCGTGAACGGGGACAGGGTTGCGATTACTCCTGGAGCTAAATTTTTAGAGGCGCAAAAATATTAATTAGGTTGATAAAAACTAAGGAGTTTCTTTTTTATATACTACGAACTGGTAGTCGAAAAGGATTCATACTTTTCCACAGGAATTGTTGCAAAGCGAATGCGACTGCCTAGGCTTAGATATAAACTCAGCACTCTGATTACTATCTGCACCGATAATTACAATGGTGCTGTAGCGATATCAGCCAGCTAAGGTCTTATTAAATGGAAAACAGCTGGACCTGTTACAAAAAATGGATTCGGAATATTTATCAGCCCACGATGGTTATCAATATCGTGAAATGGACTTCACAAATACAGGGTAAGCGGCCAGACAAAGGGAAGTCGTTGAATGAAGATAACTTACTCTTTTAGACAAGACAAAGAACAATGTTATCTATAAAATGGATTAGTACCCGCGAAAAGACAGAGAGACGAAGTGTATCCACGGTGAACGACTTGACAGGGAAGAAACCCATTAGACTGTTCAACTCTGGCCAACTCTCACTCTCTCCTCATCTCAACTTCGCTCGCTTATTGCAGAAGGTTATAAGCCAAGAATAAAAACTGGTTAGAAATTGTCATGATTTTCAATCCTATGTAATGATTTGGCCGAAGGGTTAATTTTAAGCCACAACTGTTTAACCGGAAGAAGCCGTACCTTTTCATTGAACCTGGTGTCTGGTCTTAACTGCAACACAACACTGCGCAAATCCGTGCACGCTTATAAATATATATGTATGTATATATATATATATATATATATATATATATATATATATATATATATATATATATATATATATATATATATATATGTGTGTGTGTGTGTGTGTGTGTGATTGATTGTGACGGACATGTAAAATTTAATTAGTTTTTTTATTCAGTTTTTTCGTTTGCCATTATCCTTAAAGATTGTTTTATGTGGATTAAGAATGTGTAATTGTCCGCAGAGATTATTGTCCTAGGCACTTTAGGTTCAGTTCTTTAGTCATTTTCAAGGGGTTCCTTGTTCGTATATTTTTCTGGGCTTACGCATAGAAGTTGTAGTAGTAACTCTAAGTCGTGCTATATACGAACTTTTCTTGTCCGTCGCATTCAATGAAAGATGTATAAAAGAAAGACTATTACATACAGATAGATAGATAGATAGATAGATAGATAGATTCTCTGTATTTAGGCAGCAAATGTTCTTTAAGGCAAATATTTAAAAAATAGACATTTTGTATCTATTAATTTTAATGTTCTACTCAGACAAGAAGAAAATTCCTTTAAGTTAATTTCAGAAGAAAAATACAAGAGCTTTCAACTTTCTTCAATCATCAAAGCATGTAAGAACAATTGATGAGTTTTATAGAACTAATGAGTGTTGTGGCGTAAGCCAGGTGCGACGAAGGATTATTTGTAATTTGGAAAAGTCGATTATTTAACTTAATCGACACAAAATTTCCGTTGTGTTTAATAATATTTGCTTTATATATATATATATATATATATATATATATGTGTGTGTGTGTGTGTATATATATGGACAAAATTATGGGGCAGGTGCAGAAAAGTTAGAAATAGGATGGAAACTCGTGCTGAAAACACAATAAGAATTCTTGAGTTGATGTTTCACTGGCATTTATCGGCACAAATAATGATTTGTGTTCATTTTTACTTATTTAGCATAAGTGACAAAATCATTTATCTGAAATTTAATCTGTAGTGCTAAAATTTAATCTGCAATGCTAAATCTTTTCCAATTTTTAGTAACAAGTTTAGTATCAATTTATAAGTGCTTCTTCTTTGTTCTAAATGTCTCCGAAGAAAAACATTCCTGAAACTAAAAGGCCTGAAATCATTGCATTGTTCAAAGAAGGGTTATTCTAAGTCAAGATTGCAAAAGTGAAATGCTCAAGAAATGGTGCACAAACAACCATTAAAATTATAACGAAACCAATTCTTTCAAAAATCGTCATGGTCAAGGCTGAAAAAGGTGTACAAACACAATGCAGACAGCTAAAGAGGGTATCGGTTATAGAAAAATTCTAATGTGACTGCTGAATTTCGAGAGGCAACAAACAAAGTGATATCGACTCGCACAGTGAGAAGAGGGTTAGTAAAATCTGGCCTCAAAGGATGTAAATCGAGAAAAAAAAACATCACTGCCTGAGGTTAATAGGAAAGAAAGACTTTCTTTTTGCGAAAAGAGCATAAAAATTAGACAGCTGAGGATTGGGCCAAAGTTGTCTGGTCTGATGAAAGCAACTTTGAAGTAAGTTCCTTTGTTAATTGAAACTAATTTATTGAACATAATTGATTTTATTATGCCTATTAATACTGTATTTTTATCGAATAGAAAATTATCCCTAAAATTTTATTACTACTATCAATTACATTAATTTTTGTCTTAGCAATTCATCTTGGATGAGATTGAAAGTAGTTGGGGAAATTAAAGAAATGACCAAAACTACAGTGTTTTTCTTAATCAGCTTAATAACAACGCTAAGAAATTGATCCATGAATTTGAGAGAATAAAAAAACAGACATGTCAAGATTATACATATATATATATATATATATATATATATATATATGTGTGTGTGTGCGCGCGCGCTCGCGTATATGTATATGTGAAACTGTATGTTTTATATCTATCTTTGCGTGTGTGTGTATATATATATATATATATATATATATATATATATATATATATATGTGTGTGTGTTTGTGGGTGTAGATGTATTTATGTATATTTATACGTTTGTATATCTCTGTGTGCCCATGCGTGTGCGGAGGAGGTGTACATATGTGAGTGTGCGTGTGTGTATGTTTACTAAAAGTAATCCTTTGTAATGTTGGTTTCTTAACGAGAAAATGTCACGAGAATTTACGGTAATTTAACTGCAGAAAAATTAGTTCCTGAAAACCTAAAGAAATGTTAAGCGTCCTCACTAGCGGGAAAAGAAAAGAAGTAAAAAAAACACTAAAGATCTTATTGTTTTAATTGTTTTTCAAAAGACACTATTTGACAGATTAAACAATAAAGATGTTGTTTGTGCTTCATTTTTGCCTGTAGTTGGCGGAGTAAGAAAAGCCAACTCAGAATGGCAGGGGTGCAAAAGGAAGAAATATCAAATGAGAAACTTTTTTTTCTTTTCTTTTTTTTTATTGAAGTATTTGGAACTGTTCCGCCAATACTTTTGATCTGTTTCTTTTTTAAAGATTTACTTGAGTGACTTCAGCTATGAGCCGTATCCCTTCATAACGTGTGCGATAATGGCCCTCCACACATTCTTATCCTTCGTCGCCTTAAGCAATGTTTGTCGCCTTACTCTGCCTCCTAGTCCATGTCCTTCAAACCATTGACACAAGATCATCACTTTCCCTCTAGACCCTCCACCACCACCACCCCGAGTTACCTTCGGTGTCCAGTGAACCCCTTTTTCTCATTACGTAATCGACCGTCTCTTTCTGATTCAAAATAAAAATGTCTAATTTTGTTCTCTTTCCCCACTTCCTGGACGTCCTTGTTGCTCAAATTATCGAGCCATGGTATTCCCACCTGGACCGACTTGAAAAGGCGGAAAGAAAATAATGTCATGGCCAAGATGTTGACATTCCACACTACTTCAAATTAAAGGTTAGGAAGGAAACCCGCATCATTAATGGAAAGAGCGATAACAGCTACTGGACTTGAAAAACGTATTCTCCTGAACAATTGTTTGAAGATGTTATAGTAGAAGACACCTATTCTATAGTTAATAGACTCTCCCACCTATAATAAGTAGGAGTAGTAAGAGTAACGAGAAGTCGCTCAATGAGTTGGTCTGATTTCAGTCTGAAGTCGGACGACCAGCTGACCGGTTGAACTCTCTGATTTCGGGCGGGTAGGAACCCGAACGAGGCTACGGCGAAGGGCGGATTCTCTTTCGGGGTGGTAAACCGACCCTGAACCCGTTTATACGGGTTCAAAGGGCATATTTTTGGCCGAGCCCACCGGCTCGGAGATCCCACGTTAAACCGGCCTTGTGCCACATGATGCCCTCGTGGCGGGGTGATTAAATACCGCTCAGTGAGTTGGTCAGTCAGTCGATGTCGGACGACCGTTAGTTGGATATTAAAGTATCAGCCACCACAACTAGATTACTCTGTGTCATTACCTATTATATGAAGTTCCTAACGCTTTGTACGTCGAACCTATTTTAGGACCGACTTAGTACAAATACAAGCCTCCACTATGAAATCACTCCACAACAAACTTGGCGAAGAGGATTCGAACTCATACGGAAAGAAAAAAAATTGACCCGCCATAACAAACTTGGCGAAGAGGATTCGAACTCATACGGACGAAAAAAAAAATCACCCGCTATAACAGAAGAGAAAGAGTTTATAAACCTGGCTGCTCGACCAATGAATGCTAACTGATTCCTTGTAAGAAAAGTGCTAATATTAGCATTACCATAAGTAGAACCACATCTCTCTTAATTCAGGCCTCTTTGTCTGTGATGGAATTGTCCAGTTTTCACTGTCATATACCGGACCTGATATTATGTAGGTGTTTCTTCATACTTTGTTTAGCTTTTGGAAGGCATCATTCGTTATTCAAACGCGCCTTTCAATTTCGGTGTAACAACTTCTGTTGTCAGTTAAAACACCCCCCCAGATAACGGCCACATCACGTTGAAACACCAGTTACTGTACGATCACCAAAGTTAAGCAACGCCGAACCTGGTCACTACCAAGATGGGTAAACCCTTAGAAGTAGCAGATGCTGTAATCTTGAATGTGCACGTGGTGTAATGGATAATGGCACGGGATTGTTCATCAGAGAGCCGAGTTCCAGTTCGTGTAGGTTTTGTTATATTCACTTACACACAAAAACCCTTGGGAAAGGTATGGATCCACCAGCTACGAGTTATTTAGCAAGGACACATGGCACAGTGGATAAAGGCGTTAGTTAGATCCAGTAACCGAACCCAAAGAATGTGAGTTCAATAACCGGTTAAAGCAGTGGAGAACTTGGAGAGGGGAATTAGCAGGAGATAACTGATAACTGACATCCATTAAATATGGCACGTGGAACTAGAACAGTCTACCCCAGTGAGCAAAATAAAGGGTTCAATTCGACATTCCAACGACCTGGAGAAGGCCGTAGCGTACAACGGCCGAAACGTTGTAATAAATATGGCGACAAAGATGAGGACAACAATCCGAATAATGTAAATAGTGTACATAATACCTCATCTCAGAAATATAGACAGATACTGAAAGGCCGAAACGTTGTAATAAATATGGCGACAAAGATGAGGACAATAATCCGAATAATGTAAATAGTGTACATAATACCTTATCTCAGAAATATAGACAGATACTGAAAGGCCGAAACGTTGTAATAAATATGGTGACAAAGATGAGGACAATAGTCCGAATAATGTAAATAGTGTACATAATACCTCATCTCAGAAATATAGACAGATACTGAAAGGCCGAAACGTTGTAATAAATATGGTGACAAAGATGAGGACAATAGTCCGTCCGAATAATATAAATAGTGTACATAATACCTTATCTCAGAAATATAGACAGATACTGAAAGGCCGAAACGTTGTAATAAATATGGTGACAAAGATGAAGACAATAGTCCGAATAATATAAATAGTGTACATAATACCCCATCTCAGAAATATATACAGATACACTAAACCATTACTATCTTAAAAAATTCTTACAATCAAAAATAGTTTTTTCTGGCTTTTAATAACCTGCAAAGGGTTGATAAACCGTAGATAATCAATCGATCAATCGAATAAAACATTCCCAAATAGTTAAGTTTTTGGTACTTACTTGATTTTGGCATCTTCAATTCGTAGCTCTCATATTAGTCTACACTTCTTGCTAACGACCATACAGTTTGCCTTCATACAATTCAGGGTTAGTCCTTTCTTCTCGCTTTCTTTTATTATCTTGGACTTATAGTTTTCTTTCTGAGTTTGCTATTAACACAATCCGCCTAAGATATACAGCTTTCACCATGCTAATAATGGCAATGCGCAGAAAGGACACAACTTCGACGTGAACAAGGCAATAATTAAAAAGAAAAACATCACTAAGGTTCACATTTTCATGGATCAACGGTTAAGAAGTTAATCTCGGTGAACATTACGACTGTTCAATGGTTTTCTCACAATTGTTGCTTTACTCTAGGCCAGTATTTCTTTCCTTTGTCTCTATTTCCCTCTATTCGACCCATGAGTATTAGATTCTCCAGGCCTTCCTTTGTCATTACGTGTACCAGAAACTTCAACTGCCTTTTCCTGATGTTAAGTATAAGCCTCTTTCTTGTTTGCATCCTCTCCAAGACCTCATCGTTGCTCACATGCTTGGTCCATGATATCCTCAGCATCCTTCTGTAGAACCACATCTCCGTCGCCTCGAGTCTCTTCTGCAATATTCGCTGCCGTAAAGGAAGACAGATGTCATGTAACAGCTTAGTACTCTTTTCTTTGTTACCAAAGAGATCCTCCTATCTCGCAATACAGATGTTTTTAGTTATTTAGTTTTCTTCGAGTGGGAGGAAAATATGTAGATTTTAGGTGTGTGGCTGAGTGGATTTTAGGTGTGTGACTTAGTGGTACTTAAGCGTGAATCTGAGTGGATTTTAGGTGTGTGGCTGAGTGGATTTTAGGTGTGTGGCTGAGTGGATTGTATGTGTGTGACTGAGTGGTACTTAAGCGTGAATCTGAGTGGATTTTAGGTGTGAGACTGAGTAGTACTTAAGCGTGAATCTGACTGGATTTTAGGTGTGTGGCTGAGTGGATTGTATGTGTGTGGCTGAGTGGATTGTATGTGTGTGACTGAGTGGTACTTAAGCGTGAATCAGAGTGGATTTTAGGTGTGTAACTGAGTGGAATCGTGAATCTGAGTGGATTTTAGGTGTGTGGCTGAGTGGATTTTGGTGTGTGGCTGAGTGGAGCGTGAATCTGCGTGGATTTTAGGGTGTGTGGCTGAGTGGAAATTACGTGTGTGGCTGAGTGATAAGCGTGAATCTGCGTGGATTTTAGGTTTTGGCTGTGGAATTTTGTGTGGCTGAGTGGTACTTAAGCGTGAATCTGAGTGGATTTTTAGGTGTGTGGCTGAGTGGATTTAGGTGTGTGACTGAG